ATATGAAAAGTAAATGGTATTAAAAAAAAAGTTAAAAATATGAGTTTTAATTATGGAGTATATCTTGATGCATAGGAATCCTCCGCTACAAAGTTGATTTCCAGTCACTGCAGGCTGATGAGCCTCTTGATGATGTTGACCTCGATGATTACTAATTTCATCTGTGAAATACTCAAAGTTGACCAGGTAGCTCTTTCTCTGTCTTGAGTGCATTCGTTTACATTTCGTGTATTATAGAACATATTACTTTCAGAAATGGACAAATTTATCAAAGTATTTATGAATCTTGTATTAGTTTGAATCTAAAGAAGAAAAAGAATAAAGAAAATAATTACAGAGTATAATTATTATATTAATTAATAACAATTGGTATAATACGAAACATTCATATGCAGTATTCATCAATAATTTAATTGTTTAATCAAAGTACATCAAATTCTGTCATTATATTTGTTTGCACTTCAAATATAGACAATATAACATATGATTGTATAATACTCATAGTACTCATCATGAAGAATCTCTCATCATGATAAATTTTTATTGTTACAGTTAAAATTAATTTATCAGTACTGTGGTATTATCTTTATGAGCTGTGATTAATTCTATGCATTATGTTATTCTTAAGGATTAAAATGTATACATTTTGTATGTAACTAACGATAAATTTGTCCAAAAACAATTTGAAGTTTCTTCTGTTGGATTTCTCACTGAATAGTATAGTTCAATACTTCTGTGCAAATCTGTAGTATATGTATGTCTCTTCTGATGAGTTTGAATGTGAATATAGATATTTTTAGTTGTGAATTTCGAGGTATAATGTTTACTTTTACGAATAAAAAGCCTGAAAACTTTGCTGTCTCCTTTTTTTCTTGGTGGTATAAAATTAAGAAAATCTTGTATATATATGAAATGTGGATAATTGTATTTGAGGAGGGTGAGTTGAAGTATTTCAGTGTATAATTTTTCTTGGACATTATTAGATACTACTCTTTAGTGATTGTTCATTATTTTGTTAGTAACTAAAATCAAACTGTAGATACAATATACACTATCAATTTAATGAAAATATGGTATTATTTATTTTCATAAACACAATTAGTTTTACTTTCTTACAATACATTTGACTTTAAATTTTTGTTACATTGATTTTATGTATGTGTATA